CCCCAAAACCCCAAAACCCCAAAACCCCAAAATAAGATCCACAGTTGAAATCCAACGTAAAAAAATTAAATTCTAAAAAATGCTTTACAGCCAAACAAGCATGTTGTGCTGCATATTGATCTCCCTTGCAGTCCTTGCCAATGCTAATTTAACAATTGAGTTGACCAGGAATGAGAAGGACTTTTTAGAGTTTAGGAGAGCCAAGAATAATGGAGTCCCTCTTGATCCAGAACATCCAAAAGTTATCGAAATAGAAGATATAAAAAAGTTCTGGCTAAATAGACCAAGTCTTTGTGTAGGAGTTACTAATTCTTGGATGACGGAATATACTACGACTGTTAAAATTGGATCAAATCAGCAAGAAATGCAAGTTATTCTGGGTGTTGGTTCTAGGCATCTTTGGGTTCCGAAGAAGAAATGTATTGGGTGTCCAACTCAAAACTTCTTTGATTCAAGCAATTCTTCAACTTTTTACAACAAGTACTATGAGATGAATATATATTACGAACATGGTAAAGTCTTTGGGGATCTTTCACTAGATGAAGTTAGATTGGGAAACCCTGAGTCTCACTCTTTCAAAACCGAAATAATGATTGCAAGAGAGGCTCAAGATCTGGAAGGAATGGTAGCAGATGGAGTTCTCGGTATCATTCCTCCAAAAAAAGGTGATGGTGATTCTTTTTCTACCTACCTCATTAAGAACTCAATCATTGATAGTAAAGACATCACAGTCTTCCTCGGGGACGGAGAAGATCACTCTTATGCTGAATTTGGAAGCAACAAAGAAAATACAGAAGAAGTTACTTGGGTTCGATCAGGAATCGATTATGATTTTGGAATAACTAATAATAACGTTAGTTTTTCTTATATGAACAAAACAATTCCAATATCTACACATTGAATAGCATTTGATACAGAATCTGCCGTAAGTGGTATACCAAGGATAGACCTGAAGACAATAATTTCAACCCTTCAGCAAGGTAAAACTTTGCTATATTACGAAGAATATGATTTCTTTGGAGTAAAATGAGCCTCGCTTGATGAATTCTACGATCTTCAGATTACTTTCAAGGAACACATTTCTTACATCGCTGTGGAGGACTACATCTTATATATCCACGGTCATTGCTTATTCAAATTCTATGACTCCGGCAATGAAAATAACGTTATAATTCTTGGTAATTCCTTCTTGAGAGGAACCAAATTCACTAAGATTAATGCTGAAAGAAAAATAGGACTTTGGCCTCAGAAGCTGAGACATTCACCAAGAATTTATGAAGGCTACAGCTATCTTTGGATATATTTGCTTTTGATCTTTCTTGGGATCTCATTTGCCGCATCTGGTATATATTTCTACAAGAGAGCTAGTCACCAGAAGGGAGATATTTCAGAAGAAAGTGAAATGGCTGGTGGCAACGAAGACAGAAACTTCAATTTCTACTAAGTTTTACCTGAATTTAGACTAAAGGGATTTCAATGGGAATATAGCTTATGGGGTTTTGGGGTTTTGGGGTTTTGGGGG